TGCTGCAGGAGGACCCACCGAGCTGCAGCCCCCGCTGCCATCCTTGCTGCAGCAGCAAGAGGGGCCCCTCCCTGCTGAGGAGACCAACGGGGGGCCCCCGGGGCCCCCTTGAACTCAAAAGGGTACTTGAGCGGGCGCGGGGGGCCCCTCTGGGGCTTGGAGGCCCCCGGGGGCCTCGGAGGCCCTGCAAGTAGCAGCAGCAGCAGCAGCAGCAGCAGCAGCAGCAGCGGCAGCAGCAGCGGCAGCAGGCTTGCTGCAGGGCCTTAGGAGCTTCTCCGGAAGAGTGCAGCGCGAGCACGTGGGGGCGTGGTGCCCCTGCGCGCGGGCAGCAGCAGCAGGTGCTGCTGCAGCAGCAGCAGCAACTGCAGCAGCAGCTGCAGCAGCAGGGTGCGCGCTGCAGCAGATGCGCGGGGGCCCCTCGTTTAAAGCCAGAAAGAAAAGCAGAAGAGGCCCCAAGAAAGAGCAGCAGGAGAGGCAGCAAATAGGGAGCAGCAAAGGGCGGAGGGGTGGCGCTGCAGCAGCAGGGGAGGCGTGTCTGGTGCTGCTGCTGCTGCAGCTGCTGCTGCGGCTGCTGCTGCTGCTGGGCTGCTGCTTCGGGAGACACAAAGCCCAAGACACTTCCCCGTGGGCCTGGTGGCTGCTGTTTGCTGCCGGTTGCTGCTGCTGGCTCGCGAGGCGACTTGCTGCTGCGCGCCGCTGCTGCTGCTGCTGCTGCTCAGGCTGCTGCCTGCCGCTGCTGCTTATTTCCTTATTTCAACTGCAACAGCAAACAAAAATATATAAATAACTCTCTAGCCTTTCCCCGCACGTTGCGGCCTGTGCAGTCTGCAGCCCCCCAGGTGTATGTACATCCTCCATACATACACCCCAGCAGCGGCTGCAGCGGCAGCAGCAGCAGCTGCTGCTGCTGCTGCTGCTGCTGCTGCGTTTCCGGGGACCCTTTCCACTTCTTGTCTTGCTTTTTGCTGTCTTGGATCCCTCAGCGCCTTTAATTTCAACTTCATTTAGGTTTGCGTAACTGCAAGAGTTGGGCAGCAGCAGCAGCAGCAGCATCCGCCGCAGCAACACCAGCAGCAACACCAGCAGCAGCAGCAGCAGGCACCCCCCAGCCGCTCGCTCGCCCTCTGCTGCATATCCTTTCTTTTTCCTTTCTTTTTATTTTCATTTATTCATCTCTTGGAGTACACGCAGCAGACAGTTAGCAGCTGCTGCAGCACACGGGAGGAATGCCGCCGGGGGGCCCCGCTGCTGCTGCTGCTGCTGCTGCCGTTGCTGCTGCTGCTGCTGCTGCAGGCGAGAGCCGCTGAGCTACCATGAGACTCCCTCGTGCTGCAGATACTTGCGGGGCTGCAGCAGCAGCAGCACTGCATGCGTAGGCCTCTTCAAGAGACCAAGACAGCGGCTGCAGCAGCAGCAGCAATGACGGCAGCAGCGGCGCAGCAGAAGCAGCTGCAGCAGCAGCAGCCTAGACGCAGGGGCCGGCCGCCCAAAAAGGCCGCAAAGTCAATGCAGCAGCAGGAGGGTTCCTCCTCGGCTGAAGGAGCAGCAGCAGCAGCAGCAGCAGCCTCAACAGAGGGACAAGCAGCAGCAGCAGCAGCAGAAGCCAGCAGCAGCCGAAGCAACAGTGAAGGAGAGGATGCAGCAGAGAGGCCGCAGCCGCGGGCCCTCCGCAGAACCCCAGCAAGGGAAAAGACAGCAGCAGTGCTGCAGCAGCAGCAGCAGCAGCAGCAGCAGCAGGAGCGGCAGCAGCAGGATGTGAATGGCCAGCCCGAAAAGGAAACCAGCTCTGGCGCAGAAAAGCCACAGGCTGCTGCTGCTGCTGCTGCTGCTCCTGCGGCTCCCCGCCGCTCCCTCCGGGTGCAGCAGTTATGTGAAGCAGCCAGCAGCAGCAGCAGCAGCAGCAGCAGCAGCAACAGCAACAGCAACAGCAGCCTCAACAGTGGGGGCCCTAGTGAGCGTCGGCCATCTTGTGGGGCTGCAGCAGAGACGGATGAAGCAGCACAGCCAACTGCTGCAGCAGCAGAAGAAACAGCAGCGGGAGCAGCAGCAGCAACGGACGCAGCGGCAGAGGAAACAACAACAGCAGCAGCAGCAGCAGCAGCAGCAGCAGACACACCTGCTGCTGATGAGTCGGAGGATGATGAAGCCCCCCAGAGGGGCCCGAGGCGCTCCTCCCGCCTCTCGGCGATCCCCAGCAACAGCAGCAGCAGCAGCAGCAGCAGCAGCAGCAGCAGCCTCGGGGCCCCTGCTGCAAGGGCCTCCCCTCGAGGCAGCAAGCCTGCTGCTGCTGCTGCTGCTGCTGCTCCTGCTGCGTCTGAGAAGCGCCGAGGGGCCCCCAGCGCCGTTGAGGGGCCCCCCGCCCGGCGGCGCAGAGACGAAGCAGCAGCAGCAGCAGCAGCAGCAGAAGGGGGAGTCAAGAAGGAAGCAGCAGCAGCAGCAGCAGCAGCAGCAGCAGCAGGGGAGAGGGGCAAGGCTTTCACCGCGGACTTCGGGGGAGTCCCCTGCTGCAGCTTGCTGGAGGTGACTGCAGCAGCAGCAGCAGCAGCAAGTGGCTGCTGCCTCATTTCGAAGCAGCAGCAAGACGCAGAGGCGCGCAGGTGGAGGCGAGCCATACGCGGCCTCATGCGGCAGCAGCAGCAGCAGCAGCAGCAGCAGCAGAAGCAGCAGCAGCAGCAGCAGCAGCAGCAGCTGCCGCGGGTTTACTGCCCCCACATGCCTGAGGCCAGCGAAGGCGGTGCTGCTGCTGCTGCTTTATATTTCGACATTTTGAGATGCACTAAAAAAGGGTTTGTGTCTCCCCACCTCCAGGTGCCAAACCCTAAACCCTAAACCCTAAACCCTAAACCCTAAACCCTAGCTGGGGGTTTCCCTCCTCTCCGGGGCTCATTCGCGCATCCCCAGCACCCCCTCAGCTCCCCCAAACAAATAATAAATAAATAAATAAATAAATAAATAAATAATTAATTAATTAATTATTTTATTTATTTATTTATTTATTTATTTATTTATTTATTTATTTATTTATTTATTTATTTCAGGTTGTCGAAATTACGGATGACCGCCACCCCCTCCGCCTGGGGGCCCCCCTAGACCGCCCAGTCTTTGCGCTGCGTTATGTGGGGCCCCCCTGGGGGCCCCCCGGGGGCCC